AACCATATGGATGTTAGTTCCTGAGCGATTATAGTAATACATTTGAAGTGTGCGTGATACTTGATTGTGTGTGTGTGGGAGTGTGAGGGGTTGTTAATGTGTGGGAAGAGATTAATGCCGGTGTGTGTAGAAGCCTGCATGTGAGAGTACGTATGGGGGTGGATGTGTGTAGAGGAGTGAATCTGAGCTCTATCTGTCTTTTTCTCTCTGGCATTAGTAGGCTGTATAATAACACACTTGATCTGTCTATACCAGTGGGCATCTCAGATCTAAAGGCCAGCTGTATTCAGTAACATTACCCAAACTCTCTCCCACGTCAGTACTGCTACACACAACCTTTCTACTTCTTGGAGCATCATGAATCAGTGGACTTGATTTAGCAGTAGTCTTGCAGTCAGTGTTGGGAAAGCTACTTTTCAAACTCTAGATTGACAAGCATTATTGTAATGTTTGTTTTTATTATTATTATTATTATTAGTTGATATTACTTTGATGCAACAAGAATGCATTAAATTGTAAGTGTGTGTACACACACACACACACACACATATGGGGGAAAACATTAGAAAGTAAGCTGAGCAAAAGGATTTGGCCCTTATTATTTACTGTTTTAGAATTTATATTTGGCTTAAAGAGCCAGCTGATGGCAATTAACATGCTGCATACACTCTCTTTCAAGATAATGATAGTGTGAGCCAGGAATGGAGTTGGATTTAGTTTTTTACTCTCTCACTTAAAGGAAACACTCTGTCCGAACACATTGTGCACGCTAATGCTCTACATTGCAGCTTTTCCAACCAGTGTGTGTGTAGCCGGGGACCATAGGGCTTTCCGTCATGTAAATTCAGACTGGGAGAGAGAGGTACCCAGACAGTACTGACCCATCTGCTAAAAATGTTGAGCAAGCTTTGAGTCATGCAGTTGTGAATATTTCACAAGGAAATCTTATTCAGTTCTGATGATGAATGCAATAACACTTGCAGGACCTGGACCTGCACCTTGTGCTAGAACACTTTTGTTGTATTTTTTCTCCTTATCTGAAGATGATGGTTATGTCCATTTTCTTCAAGAATTTCCATGAGATCTTTTTTATAGTCAGTGCCTGATAACTTTGCATGTCTTTATATTCGGCTGGATTTAGTGTTGCGAGTTTTGGTCATGGTAGCTTTACTCTGGGTTTAACAAGCAGTCAGACAGTGGTATTGATGTTTGATGTCTTTGTGAAATTCTTGTCTGTTCCCCTGGAGCTTTCTTAGAAGCAGACAAGCTTGTGTTTCCTTGTGCTTATGTTATTTTATATATTATGTTTGTTCATGGCGTATGTGAGTGTGGTTTCTGTGTCTTCTCATTAGTGCAAGCAGAGTCACCACCGCCCACTACAGCTTCATTAAACCTGACTCACTCACTCACTCACTCACTCACTCACTCACTCACTCTCTCACGGCTGTCTATCACTGTATCACATACACATATTAAACATATAGGCACAGCTGGTTCCTGTCAGGCTTTGCTAGCAGACACACACACACACACACACACACACACACAAAAGAGCCCATTATAGTTAACCGGCGTAGTATAGATTTAAAAAAAATTCTGAAGTAAAAAGTTAGTGGTGTTCATTGCTTTGCTGTATTGGGTTTTTAGGGGCTTTCTTAGAGGGGGAATGCTAAAAATGTGTTCTGTGTGAACAGCCCCCAAGTCTATTGAATCTTTTGTAACTCTTTTGGTTAGAGCCCGACCGATATGGGCTTTTTGGGGGCCGATGCCAATACCAATATTAGGGAGTAAAAAAAGACCGATATCGATATATCGGCCGATATTCTTTATGTGTAGGCTATATTATAGTAGAGTATAGTCAAAAGTTTGGACACACATCCCATTCGTGTGTCCAAACGTTTGACTGGTACTTTATATATAATACAGCAGTGGTTCTCAACCACATTCCTGGAGGACCCCCATCACTGCACATTTTGCATGTCTCCTTAATCAAACACACCTGATTCAGGTCACCTGCTCATTAGTAGAGACTCACAGACTTGAAATGGGTGTGTCAAAAAAAGGAGACATGCAAAAAGTGCAGTGTTGGGGGTCCTCCAGGAATGTAGTTGAGAACCACTGGAATACAGTGTATATGTGTATATATATATATGTATGTATGTATGTATGTGTATATATATATATATATATATATATATATATATATATATATATACATAAACACATTTTTTGCAATTATAACTCAAATGTGGTGATCAAACACTTATAATAATGTGACAAACATAGGCCTATGTAGTGGAGGCAGGGTATTTAACAATTTGACAATAAACTTTATTATTAAAAATGACTCTGACATCAGTGCACTCAACAGTAAACTTCACTTATTATAATTAACTTAACACAAATAGAACAAAATATACTATATATAACTTGAATTAAGAAATTAAACAAGGTAACTGTGTAGGGCAAGCAAGCTACTGCTAAACCAACAGGGGCAGGTTTATGCAGGAAGCACAGCTTTTCCAAATGTAAACATAAAAATGAATTAATAATAATAAAGAATAATCCCCCCCCCCCACAAATTATGTGTTGTGTATTTTCTGGTAATCAAATGAACATGTAGAACATTCATATTCAAATAAGTATTTTTGCAGTTTAATTTTCACAGACATAGTCTATATATATATGTACTGACCTGGTTTTTATTTATTCATCAAAAATAAGAAATTCCATGAAATTCCACGTTATACAGTAAATTCAGTTTTTATGACTGGATTCCGCGATTCCGTCCATGTTTTCTGCATCACGGAAATCATAGGGCCCTACTAATGTAGCAAACGAATATGATAAGCTCATTGTGAGAGTAAAAGACGGGGACATTGTTGTTTATTTACTTAGCATTGAGTCTCTCCAACTAGGTGACAACGTAGCGTTAAATCACCATTCAACAGACCCAAGCCACCACCGCACTGCCGTCTATTGGACTGCAGAAAGATACTAACTTTTCAATCTGCTACGTTACTGACTGTACTGACAAACTATGCTGACACCGTGTCTGCACCGCAACAGGACGTGACAAAGTGACCATTGAAAATAATTTGAACTTCTGTCAGCACATCATAAATAGAATGAGGCATCAGTTTACTGCATGGGTTCTATTCTACACCGGATGCGAGCGGCACGACATGACAAAATACAATAGAAATCTATTGTATTTTGTCGTGCCGCGCGATGTGATGTGACTGATGTGATAAGCATGAGTTCTGGGCCGCAGTGCGGCCGGTATAAACACCAGCATTGACTGAGGGGCCACAATCAGCTCTGGTGGCCTTAACACAGGCTTTAATGCGCCGCAGACGCGTGCCGTGATGCACAGATCAGCTCTAGTCTCTAACGTCACTGAATCTGTTGTTAAAAATGAACCATCCATTCATCATATCATCATGCAAAACTAAGAATTAGAATCATTGTAATGTGACGATCAAATATAGGTGCGGGTGGATAATTTGAAGCAGCGGACTCGCGTGAAGTTTGAGCTCATCCGCACATCTCTACACTTCACAGACCTGGGTCGCCAGTAGCAAACAATGGAGCACGCTCTGCTGAAAAAACGAAGTAATTACACCATTCAGAAGCATTTAATCTGCGTTATATGTCCTGTAAAAATATTTTCATATCGGTGGCATATTCGCCGATATATCTGCGACAGACTCATATTGGCCAATAATATCGGCAAAACGATATATCGGTCGGGCTCTACTTTTGGTAATGCTTTAACATTAAGTAATACATTTCTTACAGTATTTATTAATTCTTGTTAACATTATTAAAAGAAAATACAATTGTTCATTGTTAGTTCATATTATCCCAAGTCCATTAAATAATATTAAGAGACACAACATCTTTTATTAATGTGTTATATGTTGAAAATAAAATTTACTAAGATTAATAAATGCTTTAGAAATTGTATTGTTAGTTCTGGTTAACTATTGCAGTTAACTAATGTCAACAAATGGAATTTTTTCAATATCTGTTTTTCATCTGCCAAGCGAAAACTCTGATCATGATCACTTAGAAAAGTAATACACTTCTCAACAAACCACATTATTTCAAGCATCATTCATGTTCTTAGCACAAAGAATTAGGGCAGGTGTTATGTCCAAAATCTTATATCACAATATGAGTCATTTTATTTCATGGTAATAGTATATCACAATATAGTTATTTTTGCTTTAAATAAGGTCTTTATGATATAAAAATTGTTGGTACCATAGAAATGTCATAATTCTTGTCTAAAAACTCAAGCTCACTCAAGCGATTAAAAATAAGAAACTAATTACAAACAATAGTACAAAAAAGTACAGTAGAACAAATAAATAAGAAATGCTACATACATTTAAATAAAAAATAAAAACTGCATATTTTTCAGTGTGTAAATTAAATAAATATTTCTTCTTATTAAAGTTACAAAAGTAATTTAGTCAAGAGCAGTGAGAGATTTTCTTTCTGGAATTTTGACACATACAAGTTTGTGTTTTTAACAGTTCTAGCACTATAAAGTAAAAAAAAAAAAAAAAACTTTGTTGACATACTTCCGCAATCTATGAGCAACATCTTTACGTGCACATGCCTCTCTGACAGCGCTCAGAAACAGACAGACAGCACGCACATAGCGAAATGAGTTCTCTTTTGCCTCTGATTGCATTTCAATGGCTTAAAATCATTTGTTTTTAAACCGCAATGCTTAATAGCATGTACAAATGATAGGTGTTCGTGACCACGGAGCACAGCAATGCCACGTGAGCGTGTATCTGCAACAGAGACGATAGTCCAAAATCTCAACCGGTTGACAAATTTCTACCAGTTAATCGTGTGTAGCGGTATATCACCCACCTCTAAAAAGGATGCAGAATGACTTATTCACCAGTGTCTAATATTTAGAGTTAGGAGTTTCTTAAAATACTGCAGCAGTAATAATTATGATGAACATTAACTATGCAACTTCTAATCTGTAGTATTGTGGGCTTTGATACTTGATTTAAGTTTCATATAAGCTACAGAAGCTCTTGTTGTACCTGTCAACTGTCGACTTTCTGAGCGGGAACTGTGTTGCAGTACAACTTTTCCGTGTGGGCTCGGTGGCCCTTCCTCTCTTGGTTCCTGCTTGGCTGTGCTCCCTGCAGTAGACTTGCTGAGTGCCGCAGAGTGCTGGATGCAGCGGTGGGGAAGTGATTCAGGGCCTCCCCACATCTCTGGCATGCACTCTCTCTCTCACACACACACACACAAACACGATGAACACAGTCTCTGAGCCTGCCCAGAGAAAAGGAAGCCACTCCACAGAACATGAACACCTCTCTACTGTCCGATTGAACACTCACTGAAACACACTCACACATACATACATACACACACACTCAGAGAAGCATGCAGGAACAGAAAGTGAGGAGCCCAGAGGTAAGCAAAAAATACTTTATACTGTATGTCATGTCAAGTGTGGAGAGGAGGAGGGACGTAAACGGAAGTGATTAAAGTGCTGTTTCGATGCTGTAGTTGTCAAAGTCGTAAACATTGTAAGTTGGCATTGCAAACTGTTGTCGAAAATGTTTTTCAGTCTGTCGTAAGAAACTCTGCAGCAAAGTGATTCACCCCAAAAGCTTGTCTCTCTCTTTCTACTGCATTTTGGTATCATTTTCTTGTTTCATCTCTCTCTGTCACTCTTTCTAGTTTCCTTTCACTTTGTCGCTTTCCTCTTCCGTTTCCTTGTTTCTTTTAGAATCAAGTATTCTGGAGAGCCAACTAATAAGCACTTGATATCATCCCTTTTCTCTTTCTGTATAACAATTTAATTGTTTCACGTAAGACCCTTAGTGCTCTACTTGACTTGTGTGTGCACTCACGTTGTGCATTTCACTGCTGTATGAGCAAACTTCCCAGCAAGCATGTGGCTGTATGCTGAGCCTGTGTGTGTGTGTGTTTGAAGTTGATGTGTTAAGGGGGGCGTTTGTGGTCAGATCTGATCCCCTGGTGCATTATACTTTTTCTCATGTTTGCTTCAGCTGGTGGTGATGACATTTCCACTCAAGGGTGCTCTACGCACACACGTTTATAATGTTTAGTATATAGAAGAAAGAAGGGGGCTCAGCACTGAGCCCTGAGGTACACCATTACTTAGCCAGACATCCCAACATTTTTGCTGGGACAGAGTGAGATAATAAAAAAATGCAAGACAAAAAGAAAGATAAAGTGCAGAAAGAAAGGTGGAATGAATGGAGATTATGTGAGTTGAACATGTTCCCAGTCTGTGTTCACACGGTCTCTGTTGATCAGCTCCAATCAGGTTCTCTGACTACGTCGTTCATCCGTCTGCCATCTCATCTGCTCCCCTCAGAATAACGCCATTGTTCACACGGGCTCTCATGTTTCGGCCTGGCTACTCTGCTGTTTGGACCCAGACTGTCTCTGTGTGTGTGTTTGAGAGAGAGAGTACTCATGTTACCCCCTTACTGTGCCTTGTTAGAGTGGTAAACATGAGCAGCTAACAGATGCAGGGTCTGTTTTTTTATATCAGTGACACGCATTCATAAACACAAGTGTTAGTGCACATCTTCAAACTGTCTAACCCAATACTATCTGCTTATTAATTTTTCTGTTAATATGGGCCTCTCTTGATTTGTTGCCTGCTTCATCAAGGAGCCTACAGTAATATGAAATGGGTAATTTGAAGCATGAAAATTCAGTGGAAACTTGAACAGATTTTTGTTGAAATCTTGATTTTAATGTTGATATTGATTTTATTAATTATGATGTGTAGAACATGTTTTTTTTTATACAAAACAACAACACATCTGTCACCCTACAATATAATATACGAGATGTTGGTTAATCTCACACTGCCTGATCTCACACAGCAAATCCCCCGATAATCCATAGACTTCAGTAGTTACAATGTTGCACGTTTTTATTAAAAGTACTATTCTAACAATTCTTAAAGCAAACATTTGATGCTTTCCTTTCCTGCTCTCACACAGCTCTAGGGTGTTGTGGGTGTTACCTGGATGTTCCTATATATGCAGCTGGTTGGGTGATCTGCATAGTTGCTATTGTGCTTTGAGTGGTTGCTAGGTAGGCCTATTTTCTCACTGGCCCAAATCAAAATAGCCTGTCCATCTCTATGATATTCTAGTCCCTAGATATGTCATGAGATTTGTTTGTCTGTATTGTCATCTGCCAAGTAAAAACTAATAGCAGCCTTCTCCTCAACAAACACATTATAAACACCTAAATAAAAAGAATATATAATGTTCAATTCAATTCAAGTTTATTTGTATAGCGCTTTTCACGATGCAAATCATTGCAAAGCAACTTTACAGAAAATTAAGTTTCTACAATATATTTAGTAGTAGCTTATCAGTGGTTACTGTCAAATTGATGTACGTATGGCAGAAATGTACGGTAAAATTCAGTTAATGATGTAATCACACTGACGATGAACACTGTTAACAGCAATGATTATATGTTGCATTCAAACTTTTTTGTTCAGGGTTGGCGTCATCTGAGGTCCTCTGAGGGGTTGGCATCATCTCTTCTCAGGTATTCGGTCATCTCAGGTCTTTGTAAGGGCTGGATCCAGACTGAAGTTTGTGTAATTAGTTACCACAGGATGTCAATCCCGTGGCAGAAACAGAGAAACAAATAGAGACATAATTAGCGTAGCTGCTGTTCCAACCAAGCATCCTGAATGCCTGGCCAAAGAGATGCATCTTTAATCTAGATTTAAACTGAGAGTGTGTCTGAACCCCGAACGTTATCTGGAAGGCTATTCCAGAGTTTGGGAGGCAAATGCGAAAAAGCTCTACCTCCTTTAGTGGACTTTGCTATCCTAGGTCCTACAAAAAGTACAGAGTTTTGTGACCTTAGGGAGCGTGATGGATTGAAGCGTGGTAGAAGACTAGTTAGGTCAGAGCTAACAATTAAGGGCCTTGTAGGTAAGTAATAATATTTTGTAACTGATACAGAACTTAATAGGTAGCCACTAGCCAGTGCACATACTGTAAAATTGGGGTAAAATGATCATATTTTCTTGACCTGGTAAGGACTCTAGCCGCTGCATTTTGGACTACCTGTAGCTTGTTTATTGAAGATGCAGAACAACCACCTAGCAGTGCATTACAATAGTCCAGTCTAGAGGTCATGAATGCATGAACTAGCTTTTCTGCATCAGAAACAGGTAACATTTCGTAGCTTGCCAATGTTTTTAAGATGGTAAACATGCTGTTTTTGTAACATGGGAAATATGATTTTCAAAAGACAAATTGCTGTCTAATATAACACCCAGATTTTTGACCGTCGAGGAATTGTAATCCAAGAGATTCTGTGTACTGTTTTTTGGTCCAATAAGTAATATCTCTGTCTTATCGGAATTCAGTAGGAGAAAATTATTGGTCATCCAATTTTTTACATTGTTAACACACTCTGTTAGCTTAGATAATTTAGAAGTTTCATCTGGTCTTGTTGAGATATATAGTTGAGTATCATCAGCATAACAATGGAAACTAATCCCGTATTTTCTAATAATATTACCAAGGGGCAACATGTATATTGAAAATAGCAGAGGACTTAGGACAGATCCTTGTGGCACTCCATACTTTAATGGTGATAGTTGAGATGACTCCCCGTTTAAATAAACAAAGTGGTATAGCGATCAGACAGGTAGGATCTAAACCATCTTATAGTCTGCCCTTGAATACCTGTATAGTTTTGTAATCGATCTATGAGTATGTCATGATCTATGGTGTCGAATGCAGCACTAAGATCAAATAAAACTAGCAATGAGATGCAGCCTTGGGCTAAAGCAAGAAGCAAGTCATTTGCAATTTTATCAAGTGCAGTGTCTGTGCTATGGTGGGGCCTGAAACCTGACTGAAATTCTTCATAGAGATTGAGCAGACACAACTTTTTCTAAAATTTTAGACATAACCGGACAACTTGAAATGGGTCTGTAATCTGCCAGTTCATTAGAATCTAGTTGTGGTTTCTTAATAAGAGGCTTAATAACTGCCAGCTTGAATGGTTTTGGGACGTGACCTAAAGATAATGATGAGTTAATAATATTGAGTAAGCGGTTCTTCTGCTACAGGTAACAGCTCTTGCAGTAATTTAGTGGGTACAGGATCTAATAGGCATGCTATTGATTTAGATGCAGTGATAAGTTTATTTAGCTCTTCTTATCCTGTAGTTGTAAAGCACTACAGTTTTTTTTGGATGCGATTAATGAAGCTAAAATACTAGATGCTGTAGAATCTAAATTTGTTATTGTATTTCTGATGCTATCTATTTTATCAGTGAAGAAATTCATAAAGTAATTACTATTAAACTGTGAGGGAATATTTAGATTGGGTGGCGTCTGGTTATTTGTTAATTTAGCCACTGTGCTAAATAAAAACCTTGGATTGTTTTGGTTATTTTCTATAAGTTAATATGTCACAGAATTAATGTATAAAGTCATTATGGCCAACCAGTAATGTAAAATAAAAATAATTCAATCAGCGCACTATAGGCTAAGTGCTGAAGTTCACCACTGCTTGGGACTGTTCTCTATTCATCCCCTTCCTAACAATTTCTAATGATTCAATTATTGACATTTCACTGTCAGGACAAATTGACATAGATGCTGAATATGGGGAGGGTTCATGACCCTCAGAATAAAATGTGCAGTTAGCACTTTCAGAGTCAGAGTTTTTCCTCTGACTGTGCTCTTCTTCCAGCCCAGAAGGCCTTCAGACAGGGTGACAGTAAATGAGGAGTGTACCCAGATAGGAGGATGTTTTGGGGCCAAGATGCTTGTTCTCTCTGTGTCAGCATTCTCACAGTGTGCTCACAACTTTGGCCATAGTGCTCATGTGTTGTTTGTTAATTATTTTTTGTGAAATTGTACTTCTATTTTAAAATCACAGGTACAGAGAGACGCTGGGAGGGATGGTAGGCTCATGCTGTGTGTCCTTTAGCTGCCAGTGGACTCCTAAGAACTTTGTAGCTTTTTAAGGTTAGCAGGCAACCTGAATTCAGCACAAAATCAAACTCAACTTGACTGGAATTCTGGAGCATTTATAAATTCTAAGGTATCTGGAGCATTCTAAAATGAGCATTTTTATCAGGCTCCTATATTTATGTTCAGTTATTTCACTCTAATTGCATAGAAAAGGACCTATACATTGCCATTAGAGTAAAATTACTGAACCTAAACATAGGAGGCTGAGAAAAAAAAAAGCTCATTTTAGACGAAAATGTCAGATGGCACTTAAAGGCTTTTGCATTTGAACTCTTCATTTGTTTTGATATTGTTTAGTCAAGTTTTACATGACCCACCATCTAGACTAGCATTAAAGGAATATTCAGGGTTCAATACACTTCCAGTTGAAGTAAATGGTGCCAAATTTTACTCTGTTTACCCCATT